AGATAACATAGTCAACAGCACACTAAAAACAAGACATGGTGTGCCTCTATAAGTCAAAACCGTAAGAGTTTAAATATTGAAATTATTATCTAAAACCGTAATATTTTTGGCTGGGCACAGTGGCTCACACCTGTAATTGCAGCACTTTGGGAGGCCGAGGCGGGAGGATCACTGGAGGCCAGTAGCTTGAGACCAGCCAGGACAACCTGGTGAGACCCCACCTCTACAAAAAATTATAAAAAATAAAAATTTAAAAACCATTTAAAATAAACTTAATATTTTCTTGGATATGTCTTAATTTAGTTAACTGGCATAACTAGAGACTCTAATAGAATTTTGTTTCTGTTTTTGAGTAAAGGTATAGTTTTACACATATACTTACCCAAATATTTATTTCCCATTTTCTTTTTTTGAACTGGAGTCTCACTCCGTTGCCCAGGCTGAATGCAGTGGCACGCTCACGGCCACCCTAGCGCCAATCTCCTGGGCTCCGCGATCCTTCCGCCACATCCTTCCGAGTAGCCAGAACTACAGGCGTGTGCCACCACACCCGGCTGATTTGTTTATTATAGAGATGGAGGTCTCGCCAAGTTGCCCAGGCCGTTCTTGAACCCGTGGGCTCAGGCAATCCCCCCACCCCGGTCTCCCAAAGCGCTGGGATTATAGGCTTGAGCCACCATGCCTGGCCCATTTCCCATTTTTTTTCTAAAATTCTTTGCTACTTAAAAGTATTCAAAACCGAAAACATTGGGGGAAAAAAGCCTCAGCAATGTATAAACTAATTTCTTCAATATGAATATCTGGATTGTTGTACCCATTTCTACTCATTTGTTTTTTTTAGGTTAGTCAAGTCATAGAGTACTTTTAAGAGGAAGGACACAGTTAAAACTTACTCCTACTTAACCAAAGAAGCAATAGAATTTCACTCTTAGTATAAAAGATACAGTAGAAGTGATACACCACAACTTTATACTCTGCAAATGACTTTTGGTCATCTTTACTGCCTATTATTATGCTTATAATTCTTTTTATTTATACTTATCTTGGAATACTAACACATTCAAAAATCTAAGGACAAAAAACAAAAACCCATACCATGTTTCCTTCGGCTCGAGCCTTGTTCTGCATTGCTTCTTGTTTTCGCTGCAGGAACTCTTCCACTTGTTTAGCTCTTTCTACAGCTAAATGCCCTTTTTGCCTAATTTGGAGAAATCATGAAGTCAGAATTTTGAACATAAAATATTCCAAAAAGTTAAAAATCTTGCACATTCTAAGTACACTTTTTTCCACTGCAGAATATGAAGGCTGATATGAAACTAACACTTTCTCTGTAATGAAGAAATTGCTACATATATGCTGATATCTACTACTTAAATCAAATTTTGTATGATTTTAAATATTAGTAAAATCTATAATCTGCTATGGATTTGAGGAAGGCAGATACACCTTCAGGTGTGACGCTCTGACATGTCATTTATAACCATATGAGGCTCTTTTGGGGGTCCCAGAAGTGTACACCACCATCTGCAACTAGATGAAATAGCTGATCTCTCTGTGGAGTATCCTGACGGCATCAACTTCCTCCTCTAACCTTTATGGAAGCAAACACACTTGACTTCCTATTCTAAGATACTGTCTGTGTCCAGTGTTTGCTAGCCTGAACCCCAACTGACACATGACAGTATAGCGATTGCACAGAACTGTTTTACTAAGAACTCGGGCAGATGTATAACAGCTTTGACTTACAGATTTTCACATCATTTATGCATATATAATACCACTACCTGCCCCATGTATTTATATAACTTGTAAGTGCTGCTTCACTGAACAACCATTTTCTAAGCTGGTTAAAATAAGGAGGTATAATCCCATTCACCTTCTTAACCAGAAAAGCGAAAGGCCTTTATAACAAAAACTACAAAACACTGCTCAAAGAAATCAAAGAAGACACAAACAAATGGAAAAATATTCCATGCTTATGGATTAGAAGAAAGAGTATTGTTAAGATATCCATCCTACCCAAGGTAATCTATAGATGCAACACAATAACCATTAAATTACCAATATCATTCTTCTCAGACCTGGAAATGATGATACAGAAATTCATATGGACACAAAAATGACCACGAATACCCAAAACAATTCTCAGCAAAAGAAACAAAGTGGGAGGTATTACACTTCTAGATTTTAAACTTTTTTATAAGGCTACAATAATCAAAACAGCCTGGTATTGGTACAAGAACAGGCATATAGACCAATGGAACAGGATCGAGATTCCAGAAGCAAAACCTCAATTTCTCAATCAACTCATCTTTAACAAAGCCTCCACCACCAATAGCTACTAGGGAGAAGAAAAACATTCATTTAACGATGCTGAGAAAATGGGCTGACCACATGTGAAAGAGTGAAACAGGACACTACCTATCATCATACACAAAAATCAACTTCAAGTGGTTCAAAGACCTAAATGTAAAACCTCAAACTTTAAGAATCTTAGAAAATACAGGAGACACCCTTACAGACATTGGAATAGGCAACCAATTCCTGGTTATAACCCCAAAAGCCCATGACATGAGATGAGATAAGATTCACAAGTGGACCTCGTCAAACTGAAAAGCTTTTTTTTTTTGACTAGGAGTTTCACTCTGTTGCCCAGGCTGGCGTGCAGTGGCATACTCATGGCCACCACAGCCTCAACTTGCTGGGCTCAGGAGATCCTTCCACTTTAGCCTTCCAAGTAGCTAGAACCACAGGCATGCGCCACCACACCTAGCTAATTTTTTTTACTTATTGTAGAGACGAGGTCTTGTCATGTTGCCCCAGGCTGGTCATGAACCCCTCAGCTCAGGCAATCCTCTCACCTCAGCCTCCCAAGGTACTGGGATCACAGGTGTGTTTGGTGCCCAGCCAAACTGAAAAGTTTTTGCAAAGCAAAAGAAACCATCAAGAGAGCAGGGAGACAGTCCACAGAATGGGGAAAAAATATTTGCCAACTGTATATCTAACAAAGGCCTAACATCCAAGATCTACAAAGAACTCAAACGCGCCAAAAGAAACAAACCAACAGCCCCATTAAAAAGTGGGCAAAAGACATGAATAGACACCTCTCAAAAGAAGACATGAACAGTCAACAGATACATGAAAAAATGCTCAGCCTCACTAATCATCAAAGAAATGCAAATCAAAACCACATCAACCCTGGTCAGGATGGCCAACATTCAATAACTCAAAAAACAACAGATGCTAGAGAGGATGCGGAGAAAAGGGAACGCTTCTACACTGTTGGTAGGAGTGTAAATTAGTACAACCTCTGTGGAAAACAGTGTGGTGATTTCTAAAAGACCTAGAAATTGACCTTCTTTATGCCCCTGCAATCTTTCTTCTGGGAACAGACCCAGAGAAACTCAAACCATTCTACAAAAAAGATACCTGTGCACACATGTTTACTGCACCATTATTCACAATAGCAAAAATATGGAATCAACCATGCTGCTCACCGAAAGTGGACTGAATTTTTTTAATGTGGTTCATATACACGATGGAATATTATGCAGACATAGAGGAGGACAAAATTATGGACTTGGCAGCAACTCTGATGGATGTAAAGTCTGTCACACTCAGTGATCTACCACAAAAGCAAAAAGCTGAGTACACATGTTCTTACTCATAAGTAGTCCCTGAGCATGTATCGTCATGCTACAAGAAAGGGACTGGCCGTAGTGGGCACTGCGGGGGGAGGAGGAGGGGGCACGTGACATCCATAGGGGCACCTGATCCTAGACCGGGAGAGATGAGGACCAATGGGAGGCCCAAACTTCGACTGTCCGCAGACCACTTCAGTGCCTAAACCTGACTGACACCCCACATCCAAATAAAAAATATACATATACAGGTATGCCTTACTGGCGACTCTTAAACACAGACTCCATACCTGTAGTGACTCTACTTAACGTTGCTTTGTTTTTCCTCTCGTTTATTAAGCAAACACTTGCTGAGTGTCCATGATTTTGCCACATTACACCTGCCCAAAGATAGAAAGATGAATAAAATAGAGGCAAGTTTGGGTCAACATATGAAAGTCAAAGTACTGCGCCGTAGAAATAGAAGAAAAGGCAAGATTAGTTTATCACCCTTTATGAAGTTGAGAAACATGAGCTCGGTGTCTTTATTTTTCACATGCATTATTGTTTGCTGTATCATGTACACCAAAGAGAACCTGTAACTCATACGCTTGTTCCTTCTAAAGTAGTACAACTGTGCTGAACAGTGGGCACAAACTAGGCTCATGCTGGGCTCACAGGGATAAAGAGAAAACAGTCAAATTACTTCTTCACAGCCGTTCTCTCTTCATTAGACATTGTTAAGAATTCATATCAGCATGCTCTGTTTTATAAAAATTTGATTATTTATTTTGAGTTCCAAAGTTTTACTACTTGAAATCAGTAGAACACTGACTAGACTAATAGCAAAAAGAATGTGAATATAAACACAAACATATAGTAAGAAATTAGAACTTTAGATAGTAAAATACAAAGACACTAAAATAGGCTTAAAAAGTGTTATACAAAATAAGGGATATCAAAAAGTGAGATAACAGAGGCATAGCTTTCTTTTATTGAGAAATAATTATTCTAAGACAAACTTTACTTTTTTTAATCTTAACAAGGAAGGGAAAAAAACAGAGTAAGTTTTCTTTTCTTTTCATATTGTAAATGCATAAATCAGTGGCAAGATCTAAGTGAGAACTTCATAGCCGTCCGTGAGTCAAATTCTTTACTGCTAAGAGAAATATAAAATTTTTGAAGAATGATTATAAATTGAGTATCTTAGAAGACGAAGACAACTTTCAAACAGCTGGCACTCTAAGCAACAGAAATAATCTGAGAAATAAAAGTGAGTCCGTATAATGTAAAGCAGAAGAGCGAGGGAGGTAAAATGAGATGAAAAAGTCATGCAAACGTTTATCCATTCAGCTTCCTCCCAGTATCATGTCTATCTGATGGAATGAAATTGTTGCTAGCTTTATCCAAATTAAATGAAGCAATGCAGAGAAAAAGACTGGAAAAGTAAAAGCACTATAAAAACGCACATGTTAAGAGGCACTCAATAAGTTTTATAAAATGGTCTTATGTGGCTTGAGCTCCTGACATGAAAAAGCAAATAGAAGAGGTATGCTTTCAAGACATGGACAGATGCAAAGTCAGACAGGCCAGAGATGCTGCTAAGAAAGGAAGAAGAAAAATAAAAAAGGAACAGGCAAACATGGGTGATTCAAAATATGAGGAAAAGAGAATATGAAAGAGTCCTAGATGACTACAGATTTCAGTTTACTGACTCAGTTTGAACCAAGGGAAAGAGTTAACCAGGAATGACAATGATATCAAGATTATAATTACCAGAAATCATGACAGTGGAGAAAATGTTCCATAATGTCACTGATCACCAAAAAGTACAAGACAAAAGAATTACAATATTCAGATTACAAGAGACTCCAGGTATTAACTAGTCCAACTATTCATTGAATAAAGTGTTCCCACATTACCATCTAAACACCCCTGATACACTGTCATTTCGCTCTCTGTTTGAAGTTTGAAGATATTCAGTAAATCCCATGATGGTCTGCTCTTTGAACAGCCCCCATGGCAGACTGAAATTCGTGTCCCACTTCTCTTAGTTTTAATAATTCTACCTTGTAGAAATATAAAGAAGTCTAATTCCTCTTCCACACGACAAGTCACCCAATTCTTCCAAGCTTGCTCTTTTAACCACGCTTTCTTTAATGCTGGCTAAATTCCCAGTTTCTTTCATTGTTCCCTGTAAAATGTTCCAAAGTTCAGAAAAGTCAATATGGTGCAAGTGTTAAGTGAGTGAACCGAAGAGCCAAACCGTCCAGCTTCAACTCCAGGTTTAACCCATAAATAGTTATGTGACCTGCAACAAATAATCACACACTCTCTCATTTCTTAACCTATAAAACAGCAAGAATAATAACTCTTGCCTCATGACCTTGGTGATTAAAGCAGTTAACAGCATATTCTGTTATCGTTATTCTTGGTAGTTACGTTCTATAAAGTCACCATGAATACTGAGTTAGCGAATACCGAACCACTGTTTCTAGGGAAATTACCAAGTGAGACTTCTGTCAGGCTCCTGTCACATCATTTTTGACAACAGATTACAGATAGCCTTGTTTTATGCGTACACTTGTTTAACATAGATTGTGGCTTCATTAACACTGACCTCATGGCCAATCGTGCTGTCACTCAAGCCTGAAGGAAGCTGACCTAACACACCTTTTTCTCCCTAAGGCACATCAGAACCTCGTGCCAAAAACTGTGGGACAACTACAAAAGGTATAACATACACATCATGGAAATACCAGAAGGAGAAGAAAGAGAGAAAGGAACAGAAACATTATTGAAAATAATAATGACTGAAAAATTCCCCCAAATTAATGTCAGACATCAAACTACAGACACAGGAAGCTCTGAGAACACCAAGCAGATAAATGCCAAAAATACCTAAGCATATTGTATTCAAACTGTAGAAAATCAAAGATAAAGAAACAAGGAAATAAGGAAAACGTACCTTAACTACAGCGGAGCAAACATGAGGATTACACCCAACTTCTCAGAAACCAAGCAAGGAAGAGAGAGTGGAGCGGAATATTCAACTGTTAAGAAAAAAGAATATTAGCCTTGAATTCTACACTCTGTGATAATTACTCTTTCTCAGAGATAAAACTTTCTCAGATAAACAAAAATCGAGGAAATTTGTGACCATGAGTTCTGCCTTGTAGCTGGGTATAGTGGCTTGTGCCTGTAATCCCAGCACTTTGGGAGGCTGAGGCGAGAAGACTGCCTGAGCCCACGGGTCCGAGACCAGCCTGGGCAACACGGTGAGACCTTGTCTCCACAATAAATTAAAAAGAAAATTATCTGGGAGTGGTGGCGCATGCCTGTTGTTCCAGTTACTTGGAAGGATGAGACAGAAAGATCGCCTGAGCCCATCTCGTCAAGGCTGCAGTGGCTGTGAGCAGCGTGCCACTGCACTCTGGGGGATAGAGTAAGACTCCTACTCAAAAAACAAACAAACAAACAAAAATCTGCCTTGTATGAAATGTTAAATGAAGTTCTTCAGAGAAAACAAAAGTGATTTAGTCCAGAAACTCAGACCTATACAAAGGAATGAAGCACACTCAGGACGGAATAAGTGAAGATAAAATCTAAACTTCCATTCTTCCTATTCTTAGTTAATATAGCAGTCAGCAGTTTGCTCAAAATGGTAATAGCAACAATGTATTCCATTATGTATGCTGTGTGTGCACACATGTGCTTATGTACCAGTGAAATAAATGACAGTGATGACATAAGGTGCAGGAAGGGGAAATCAGAAATATGTTGTTATTGTAAGTGGAATAGTTATTTGAAGGGGTGTAGTGTTATGTGAAAGCGGACTTGGATTAATTGTAAGTGTATATTGCAAACTCTGGGGCAACCACTAAAAACAGCTTTAAAAAAGTACAACTAAGGCAGGAGAGAAAAAGAAATCACGCAAAATGTTCAATTAAAACAACAAAAAGCAATTGGGGTGCAAGGGTGCACACCTGTAGTCCCAAGGTGGGAGGACTGTTTGGGAGCCCAAGGTGGGAAGACTGTTTGCGGCCAAGAGTTCAAGTCCAACCTGTGAAGCATAGCAAAACCCTATCCGTTTAAAAAAAAATTTACAAAAAAACACAAAAGGCAGAAAAAATGTGAAATACAAAAATAGGAAAAAAGAACAAGAGCAACAAATAGAAAACAGTAATATATATGATACTAATCCAATTGTATCAGTACTCACAAACATCACTAGTCTAAATGCACTGATTAAAAGATAAAGATTGTCAGGGTAGATCAAAAAACAAGACCCAATTATATGTTGCCTAGAAGAAACTCACACGCGATAAAATGAATCTAGACACAGACTTAATATCCTTCACAAAAATTAACTCAAAATGGGTCACAGACCTAAATATAAAACACAAAACTATAACGTAGAGAAAACCTAAATGAACTTGGATATGGTGATAACTTTTTCAATATGATGCCAATGGCACAATCCATAAAAGAAACAACTGATAAGCTAGACTACACTAAAATTTAAAATGTCTGCTCTGCCAAAGACAATACCAAGGGAATCGACAAGTTCCAAAGAGAGAAAATTTCTGCAAAGACATATCTCATAAAAGACTGTTTTCTAAAATATGCAAAGAATTCTTAAAATTCAACAATATGAAAATGAACAACTCGTCAGGTGCAGTGGCTCACGCCTGTAATTCCCACACTTTGGCAGGCAGAGCCAAGAGGACTGCTTGAGCCCAGGGGTTCAAGACCAGCCTGGGCAACTTGGCGAGACCTTGTCACTACAATAAATCAAAAAATGAGGTGGGCGTGTTGGTGCATGCCTGTAGTTCCAGCTACTTGGAAGGTTAAGGCAGAAGGATCGCATGAGTCCAGAAAGTTGAGGCTATAGTAGCCATCATCAGGCAACTGCACTCCAGTCTGGGCAACAGAGTGAAACTCCAACTCAAAAGAAAAAAGAAAAGAAAAGAAAAAGAAAATGAACAACTCAATGTAAAAAGGGGCAAAATGCCTGAAAAGACAACTCAACAAAAAACATATACTGGTGGCAAGAAACATACACAAAGCTGTTTAACACCACACATTGAGAGGGAACAGCAACTAAAATAGTGAGAGACCACTACATGCCTAATAAAACGGCCAAAATCCAAAACACTGGCAACACTAAATGCTAGCAAGGACATGGAGCGACGGGCACTCGACATCGCTGGTGGGAATGCAAAATGGCGCAGTCACTTTTGAAAACAGGTCGGTGGGTTCCTACAAAACTGAACATACTCTTACCACATGATCTAGCAATGATGTTCCTCAGCATTTACCTAAATAGTTGAAAACTTATGTGCACACAGATGTCTGTAGCAGTGTTATTCATAACTGCCAGCTGGGCATGGCGGCGTGCATCTGTAGTCCCTGCTATGCAAGGGAGGCAAAGGTGGGAAGATCACTTGAGTCCAGGAGTCTGAGGCTGCAGCGAGCCATGATTGTACCACTGCACTCAAGCCTGGGCAACAGAGTGAGACTCTGTCTCAAAAACAAACAAACAGCAACAGCAACAACAAAAATGGGCTGGGCATGGTGGCTCACACCTGTAATCCCAGGGCTTTGGGAGGCTGAGGTGGAAGAGTTGCTTGAGGCCAGGAGTTCAAGGTCAGCCTGGGCAACACAGCAAGATCCCATCTCTGTAAAAAGTATAAAAGGGGCTGGGTGCAGTGGCTCAGCCTGTAATCCCAGCACTTTGGGAGGCCAGGGTGAGAGGACTGCCTGAGCTCAGGGGCTCCAGACCAGCCTGAGCAATTTGGTGAGACCTTGTCTCTACAAAAAAAATGAAAATACGAGCCGGGCATGGTAGTGCATGCCTGTACTTCCAGTTACTTAGAAGGCTAAAGCGGAAGGATCGTCTAAGCCCAGCACATCGACGCTGCAGTGGCCACGTGTGTGCCACTACACTCTAGCCTGGATAAGAAGAGTGAGACTCCAACTCAAAAAACAAAACAAGCATAAAAAGAAAATAAAGAAAATACACTATAAAAAATAAGGTTAAAAAACTTATAACTGTCTTACATAACTTAGAAGCAACCAAGAAGTCCTTCAGCAGGTTAATGAATATAGTGTGGAACATTCAAACAATGGGATATTATGTTCAAAAGCGAAGGTATCAAACCATGAAAACACATAGAGGCACCCTGAATGTATATTACTAAAGAGAGAAGACCATCTGAATAGGCCACACACTGCACAATTCCAGCTACATGACATTTTGAAAAAGTAAAACCATGAAGACAGTAAAATGACCAGCGGTTGCCAGGGGTGAGGAGGGTGGAAGGATGACTAAATGGAGCCCAGAGGGTTTTTAGGGCAGGGACACTGCTGTGGATGACACTGCAACGGTGGACACATGTAGTGACATACGTGCTAAAACCAACAGAATGTCTGATACCGACAGTGAACTCCCCTCTCAACACTATGGACTCTGGGTGATAACGGACCAGCTCGTCGACTGGAATACTGCTGTTGCTCAGGCGTGGTGTCGAGGGGAAGGCTGTTTGTGTGTGGGGAGAAACAAGAGGGAACTCCCTATGCTTTCCGTTGATTTTGCTGGGCCCTAGAGCTGCTCTAAAAACAAAGTTCATTCATTAAAACATATACATCTGAATAAATATTCTAGAAAAATCAATAATTCTAGAGAATAAAAGTATCACACATTTGTTTCATCATTTATAAAAAATACGCATATATGTGAGTCCGTAGACTTCCTTTCTCAAAACGGAAAGAATCTATAACTCAGTTCACATCTCATTTAATTCTGTAAATAACTTATCATGTATTCACATATTAATTTATATGTACCTCAACTATGTATTACTCAAGTACATTTAATTATCTTTTATAACGGAGGCGGAAATCATAAAGTAACGCTCTCCTTAAAATCCACACAAGGAGAAGATGATGTGACTAAATTTTCACAAAACACTATCTGTTCTTCAGTCACTCACCAGAATGTTTTAGAGAAGAAAGAGGAATGTCTGCGAAAACACATATACATACTTAAGAAAAATAGAACTATGCAAAAAAGTCACCTTTATTAAATTAAGTCAACAGAAGGAAAGCAAAAAGTCTGACGAACAGCTCACAAAAAGTTATACATCGGAGATGAATGTGGCGGAAAAAAGTGCTGAGACAAAGACAGAAGAAGGTTTTAAGTGGTGAAGAAACGAGGCCAAAACGCAGGCTGTGGAGATGCGCTTGGGTGGGATCCCATCTAAACTCATATTCTGATTCACTCAAAACCAGTGGACGATGAAACACCGCAACCACATGTTGACGGAAAGTTATCACGTGTTCCTTTCAGCAGTACTTCTGTCTAAACACATAAACGAGACACAAAAATCAGGCCGCACTGCAGCGCCACATGCTTGCCATCCATACTCAAGGGCCAAGTCCACACCTGAGAAAGTTACTGCATCCAGGAGGCAAAAGATACTCAACGTAAACAACGGAGAAAACAGCAAGGTGTAGGTACTAAGCTACACATGACAGGAGACAAGATACACATGGGACGAGTTCATGGATCGTCACAGTCCAACCCGTTTGCACTGGCTTGTTTAGACACAGCCTTCAAACTTTTCAAAGTTTTTCTAATATCGTCAGCATCAGGAAAATGGTGATGACCTGCAGCCTCGCTAGGAAATCCTGGACGAACTCCAAGCAGAATCCCTCTGTGGATAAACATGCACAGTGACCATCATTACTTCCTCTGAGGCACAGCCCGAGCGATTCTGCTGAATGCAGCCATACCTTTCTGGTAGTCCGCGGCCATGTGTTTCTCCTTTCCATCTAGCTTCACGATCTTCTGCACTTTGCGGCTGCGTTTGATCAAAAATGGCATGGAAATGTTCAGACTGTCCTCGTGATTCAAAGGATGATGAAGCCACAGCCCCTCCACTGCCAAGAAACGGGGTCTGAGGAGCAAACAAAGAGCTCTCACATGCTTATCTCATAAGACCTGAAAAGTGAACTTCAATTCTCTACTTTTAAAAAGTAATTACTTAAAAGGAACGTCAATAAACAAAAAGCCTGGGGTGAAATGGTTTGCTACTATATTATAACTATTAATAATAAAAGTAGTCTACTTTTCTACTTTGTTACGAACAATAAAGCATAATTGACTGTGACAACATTAACCATAAACAAGAACAGAAAAACAACAGTAATTTCGTGCAAACATGGAAAACTGTGTTCTTACTTAACAAATTTTGAAACAATTTTTTTTAATTTTTAATTTTGGATTCAGGGGTACACAGGCATATTCATTACATGAACAGACTGTGTAGTGGTGGGGACTGGGTCTCAGGTGGCCTGTTCCCCAGACAGCGAACAACAAATTTCTAATATACATTTGGTGTGATTCTGGTCTACTAAGCTGAAGTATATATGACTTATAAGTAAAAGAGAACTTGCTGCTGTAACACTCAAAATGTTTAACAGAAACATTTGCATATGGTTTTTAATGTACCCCCAATCCTTCAATTCATCAAGCAGATATGAAGGTAGAAACATTATTGAAACATACTCCATATGCAAATTGAAAAGGTAAAACATCATATCTATCTTTGAATAGTTTACAATCAAGTTGAAAGAAAAAGCACAAAACTAGAAAATCATTTCAATCCTGTGGTAAATGACAACAGAGATACTCCAAAGTAGTAAATACTGAGCAAATCCACAAAGTAGAAAAAAAACACATCAAAGCTGGGCTCGGTGGCTCAGCCTGTAATCCCACGCCTTTGGGAGGCTGAGGTGAATGGATTGCCTGAGCCCACAGGTTCGAGACCGGCCTGGGCAGCGAGACCTCATCTCTACAATAAATAAAAAAATCAGCTGGGCGTGGTAGCGCATGCCTGTAATTCTGGCTACTTGGAAGGCTGAGGCGGAAGGATTGCGGAGCCCAGCAGTTCGAGGCTGCGGTGGCCGGGAGCGGCCACTGCACTCCAGTCTGGGTGACAGAGTGAGACTCCAACTCAAAAAAAAAAGAAAAAACACATCAAAAGTAAAATCCCTATTAACAAAAATGACAACAACAACAAGCCCCGGAGAAAGATATTGTTTAACCTGGCCTTGACAGCAACATAACAGTGAGAAAGCTGATAGGAGCTGGGTGCTGCAGTACAGATATGCAGTGTATGCATGCAGTTGGGTGCTGGTGATGAGCAAAGGAATCGTGGCGACAAACACACTGGTAGGAAGGCAAACAGGAACGCCGAACTTGGCTGTCAAGGATGGGTGCAGCTATGCACCCCCAGCCCTGGGTGTCTGCGTTCGCATGACAAATGACAGAAAGCACTTATGCCCTTACTAGCAGTTGTAGTCTACCAAAACAGTTGTAAGAAGGACGGTAAGTCAATATTTTGCATGAGAAGCAGGAATAAGAGAGAAACCAAGGCAGAGGGACTCATGAGAGGTCGCTGCTGCACACACACCATGCCAAGAAGCTGGAAGAAAAGCCACCCACGAAAAAGCCAGCACCGAAGGGATCCTGGATTCTCTGCGGGGATGACACGGATAAAGGCAGACACAGAAGGAAGGACTCGACCCCAGGGAAAACCCACAGTTAAAAAAGAGGTACGTCAGAAAAGGATAAGAGTCAAAAGTAAGTGAAAAGTGCTAGAGAAGTCATAGTGGAAGAACTTTATTGAGTAGAGGAAATTAATAACCTCAAATGCAAAAGTCAACTTATTTAAACTTTTCCTATTTGAAAATGAGACAGAACAACACGACTAATGCTGAGTGGCGGCCTTTAAAGGAAACCACTTTTTGTCTGGTGTGGTGGCTCATGCCTGTAAATCCTAGCACTTTGAGAGGCTGAGATGGGAGGATGTTCGAGCCCAGGAGTTTGAGGCTGCAGTAAGCTATAATCACACCACTGCCCTCCAGCCTAGGCAATAGAACAAGACCCTGTCTCTAAAAAAAAGTCCCAGGTCCAAGATTCTGCGGATATTAAATAATCAAAGACTTATACACAGATATTTACACTGTGAATAATAATGTCTATTATTTAGAGGTATATAGTAACAGTATTAAGATTTGATTTTTGTCATTATTTTGAGGATCTCCTTAATTTGATTTACATTATACTGACCCTCCAGGTCTTTATCAACTATGCAGAAATAAAAAGGCCTAACAAGTCATGGGTTTCAAACTCAATGAGGAATAAATACAGAAACAATTTGCCTAAAATCATGGAAAATAAATTATTTTATTGCTCCTCAATGAAAACATTACAGAAGTTTATAAAGTGAAGCTGAAATCTATTAAGTACATAGTATCTAACAGTTGAAAATTTGTCTCAGATATCAAACAGTATCAATAGAACTGGACTTTTAGGGTCAAATATCCCCTGGAGACAGCATAGGAAAAGGCGTTACACAGAAGATGTATGCAAAGGGAGAAGAAGAAAAATAATCAAATCTTAACTCTGTGAACTTGATTCAAAATGCTTGACAAGATACAGGGCCTGCACTTTGTTATGTTTTCACTTTCCAATCAGATAAGATATGGGGTTAGCTATTTTAGAATACACCAAATTCTGTCTGAGTCATTCCTGATCAATCATTCAGGGGGTAATAAATTCGACTTAATAGCAAGATAAACGTATACTACTAAAAACACTGTATAAGTCTCTAGTAATACAAAATTGGACAATATGACTCTTATTGAATGGTTGTTATGTGATATGAAAAACTTCTGCATCTCAAGAGACTGAAAAACAAATCTATAAATCCAAGACACAATATATATCTGGATAAAGCAAGCAAAACAAACTTTTATTCAAATCATAACTTCTGGAAAAAAAAAAGAATTGCCAATTCAACTTGACAAATATGTATTGTATACTTAAATACCAAGATTAATGAGGCTGGGTCAGAGGAGTTTATGGTTTAAAATGGTATTGATTAAAAGTTGGTTCAATGACACAAACTAAAATTATAATGCAAGGGAATAATAATGCATTCATTTTCTACTGCTGTGTAACAAATTATCAGAACCTTAGCGCTTACAACCATATCCATTTATTCTGTTTCCTCGGCTCAAGAGTTTGGGTAGGTTTAGCTAGGTCCCCTGCTCAGGATCTCACCAGGCAGAAATCAAGGTGTCAGCAGAGGTATGATTCTCATTGGAGCTCAGGGTCTCTTCCAAGTTCACTGGTTCTGTGGCTATACCAAGTAAAGTAACTTTTTCTTTTTTCTTTTTCTTTTTTTTTTGAGTTGGAGTCTCACTCTGTCACCCAGACTGGAGTACAGTGGCCGCTCCCGGCCACCGCAGCCACGAATTGCTGGGCTCCGGTGATCCTTCCGCCTCAGCCTTCCAAGTAGCCGGAATTACAGGCATGCGCTACCACGCCCGGCTGATTTTTTGATTTATTGTAGAGATGAGGTCTTGCTGCCCAGGCGGGTTTCGAACCCGCGGGTTCAGGCAATCCACTCACCTCAGCCTCCGAAAGGCGTGGGATTACAGGTTGAGCCACCAAGCCCGGCTTAAAGTAATTTTTTCTTTTGCGAGTTGTTGGTCAGAGACCACCATCAGCATCTAGGGGTCACGTCTACTTTGTTGCCACATGTTACTTACCATCTTCCAAGGCATCAGGCTGTTCTGACTTCCTCCCCCTTCCAGGTTGCTATGAAGGAGTCTAGCAAGTTCATGTCAACAAGGGAGCAACCCCTGCATCTCCACTCACCTCATGATATCAACTGCTCCAAGGCCGCCATTTTTAAGGGTACCACTGACACCCAAAGGTAGAGAATGACGGGAGGTGTGTAGATCAGGGGTTGGGAATCTTGGAGCCCACCTTCGACCTGGGCCTACCATAGACGGAGACATGCATAGGATGCCACAGGAGCAAAAGAGGAGGTGTAAGATTCAGACTGGCAGAACAAAAAAGGAAACCACTGTATAAGCCTTTGCCAGGTAAGTTCCAGGCGCTGTTCTCAGAAAAAAACAAAGCAACAACAAAAACACTTTTTATAAATGAAGAAACTAAAGCTCAGAAAAGTAACTGGCCCAAGGTTATACAGTCTGAACCTAGTCAAAGAGAATGTCTGGACTAATGTACCTAGGTAAATGGTTTTCTAGGTAATAGGTCATCAAGGTAAATGGATGGAGGTCGGTGAGGGTGAGGAGGGCAAGAGGGTGCTATAAAGTCCAAGAAAATGCAGGAGCAGAGACACGGCGATTCACAGGAGGCTCACACGAGGAAACCACGAGTACAGTCTTCAGTTCGGCATGAGCCGCGCATACAGTGTGTGGAGGGAACGGGTGGAGTCAGACTTGGAGAAGCCGTCAGGGACCAGATTAAGAGGGGTCTTCTGAGAACCCAACCTTGGAGGCCACATGAAACCACGGAAGGGTTGTAAGCAGAGGCGTGACAAACTATTTAACTTAAAAAACATTCCTCTAACTATTTGGCTACACTTGATATTTGGTCTTCGGGGAGCTATCAGACAAATTCCTGTCGTTCGGGAGAGATAATAAAGCTGTTTAAAAGGGGGGAGGGAACAAAAACATTCCTCTGACAAAAATGGTGTAACAAGAGTCATCCCATAAAGTTTTTAAAGCAGTTCTAAGTGTCACATATTAGTTATCCATACTTGTTACATACTAAATATATACAGGAAAGCCAAGACTCAAAATCAGTGCTGAAGAATTACAGACAAAAATGAACTGCACGCCAAAAAGACAAAAATGCAAAGCCCAGGTGACACACACTAAGAGCAAGGCGGAACGAAGAAGCCGCAGGAGACAGCACGGGCCGGACGCCTACCTTCACCTCCCTGCCTCCGCCGGCACGCAGCACGTCTCTCCAGCCTTGCTCCCTGGCCCTGTGTATCCTCTCCAGCTTTGGGGGCGAGAAACACACAAAACACCACTTCAAGTATGTGCTACGAAAGACACGAAGTGCATTTAGCAATACCAGAACACCAGTGTGAAGGACAGAGAAGTGTACCATGAAAACAGGGCTGCCCTCTTACCCTTTCCTTCTCTTGCCATTTCATCTGCTCAGCCTTCATTAAACTAATAATCTGTAACAATTGTAGAGAGCAACTTCTTAAAATTCTTGAAACTATTATCATTTACAACTTGGCAAAGGAAGAAAAATAAGAGCAAAAACTACCCGATCCTTTTGTTTCTTTCCTTTTTCAGTAAATTCCAACCTTCTCTTTCTTGTTGTACCCTTAAATAAAAAAAGAACATCTCAATAAATAATAATGCCTACTTTTTCGAGTTTCATCAGGAAAGTTAGTACATCAATGGCAGAGGTATGCCCGGGAAGGTTAAAAAATGAAATAAGTTGTAGGTACTTGTTTGAAAGAAATAAGGAGGAAAGGTTTGGAGGCTTTATATGATAAGATTTTATTTTATTTTTTAATTATGTTTGCAAAGTATCAAAATAAGCAGACAAACAGTCTTTATACCTCAAACATTTTCCTCCTTTCTTCTCCAGGATTCACTCTCTTCACTGGAGTTTGATGGGCCTGGACAAAAAGTCAAACTACAAATTAGATGGAGATGTTGAGTTACTCATTTGAAAATTCCAAAAGTAGGGGAACAGGAAATAAGAAAAAGGTAGAGCCAATATACCCATATCTTTAAAAATAAAAACCAATGCGGTGCTTCTATGGTGCCTGTTGAACAAAGAGAAGCACTACAGTTGAAGGAACCGTGGAGAGGCTGAAGGGTGCAGGAAGCGACCAGAGGGGTGGCTCCCAAAATGGGGTCAAGCATGGTGAGGACACACCAGACAACAAAGGTCCTAGGTCCCGGCTTCTGTGAGCACAATTCCCCGCACGCACGAATTTCAAACCTGCAAGCTTCCAATCCTTAGCCAGCTTTGTTATGCGTCCAATAGGACTATAACACGGCGTCGGCCTCACCCTGCTCCCATGCAGCTCCTCCAATAGGAACATAGCACAGCCCCTTCCGGCCCCTGTCAGGCTTATAAATACAGTCCTCTCCCCGCAACTCTCTCTCTCTTTTTCTTTTTTTCCTCTATTACAGATCCTCTCTGTATCAACCCCTTTAATAAATCTCTTGGTCCTGGCCGGGTGTGGAGTCATTACTGGCACCGAAATTCTTTCATTGGTGCCGTGACTCAGATCGGGTGCTATCCCGCCCTTGTACGGGTCTATCCCCGTAGGCGGGATCCCCGACCCAGTGCCGGTGGCCACTCCAGTCCTCCCGGACCTTCCCCACCATTTTGAACGCGTGACCTGCATCCACCAGCGACCATTGGATAGGTGAGTTCCCCAGACATGGAAGCCTGAAACTTGCCCAGGATCCCCAGGGGGAACTGACATTGATCGTCTGGCAGCCCCTCCGGCCCCAGAGCAAGGGGGAACGCACCCTGCCTCGGCCTTCACAGCCACAGCGGACCCTAAAGGCTTCCTCGTCTCTTTCATCTCTTAAACCTTAAAACTCCCGCGGCTGCTGGGCTGCAGTGGGCCCCAGGGGTCCCACATCTGCTAACCCTCAGTGGCTTCCGTAAAACTCTCTCTCTCTCTCTCTCCCCCCTCAAGGAATCCCATGGCTGTCGGGCCGCAGCGGACCCCGGGGGTTCCACATCTGCTGGCCCACAGCAGATTCTGAAGGACTCATATATCTGTCGGGTAACAGGGAGCCTCGGAGGGTCCATGTTTGTTGCCCCACAGTAAGCCCTATTCGACCGGCAGGAATCTCGAACACGCTCCCACCTGCCGCCCAGTCAACTGCTTTCTGGTTCAGAAATCCTTGCACAAGGTGCCTTGACCCCCTTGGTTCTCCAGGAGGACCCTGGTTGTGTCAAACCCCTGTGACGACAGGCTTTGCCACAGCCACACTTCTTGGACAGCCGACTCTTCAGGGGACGCCTTGTTTAGTCTACCTGTCTCACCATGGGAGACTCGTCATCCCAGTTGGCCGATTCCCCTCTTAAATGCCTCTTAAACAATCTCACTACACTTTCTCTTTCCCCTGATATCAAACCCAAATGCCTAATTCGTTTCTGCACGCAAGACTGGCCAACATACCCCTTAGACAACCAAAATCAGTGGCCCCCCTGGGGTCCCTCAATCCTGATATTATTCGAGACATATAATTTCTGTGAGCATTCAAAACGGTGAGTAGAGATTCCCTATGTTCAGTCTTTTTCTCTCCTCCATAAACATCCTTGCCTGTGTCTCAATTGTAACCCCTCTAACTTCCACTCTCAACTCATGCTAGCATCTACTGCTTCTCCTACAACTTCTCTTTCTCCCATTATTCCATGCACATGTGAGCCTCCTCCTCTACATTTCCCTCCTCCCACTGCAAACACTGTAAGTCCCCTCCCTTCTTTCCCGTCTCGGATTTCAATCCTGCAGAGGAGCCCCCTCCTTCCTCTTCAGCTCCACCCACTTCTCCAGCAATTCAACCTCTGTGCCCTCCCATTTTCAATCATTCCCCAGTATAGCCCTCCCGTAACCCGATCCAAGGCCGCACTGGTCGTCCTTGCTCCCCTCCGCAAAGTAGTGGGAACAAAGGATATTGTTCAGGTGCGTGTCCCCTTCTCTATCTCAGACCTCTCACACACACACACAAAAGTCTTAGACCATACACAACTAATCCTGCCACCTCCCTCTATTTCTAACTTCAACCCAGCAGATAAACCTCCTACAGTCTGCTTTTGCTATTCCACTCACCATCAGTTTCTCCTCCTTCTCACCCTCCACCTTTATCTGAGAAGAAAGGGCTGCCGTCTCTAGCTGGGTCACTTGACCCCAGTCTCCAGCCTTTCTCTTTTGTCTTTGGAGGAAGGGCCGGTGCCAAAGGCCACGGTGCCTAATCCCAAACTCCAGCCTTTTCACCCCCCCTCCCCTCACTGCTTGATAACCCCTGATAGCAGCCCTACCAGCTGCAACAAGTCTTTGTTGTTTCCTTATAATAAATTTCTCTCAAGTTATATCTACACCGGGACTATATCAACCTTCTTCCCAGACAAAAATAAAGAGATCACGTAAATAAATCCTGTTAGCTAACTACAAAAAGGTGTTAATAAACAGGCTAACTAGGACAGAATAAAAGAGGTTTTTCAAAGACCAGTTAAAAATCCAACAATGTTTCTAAATCGCCTCTCTAAAACATTGCAGCAGTTTACTAATATTGATTTAAACTCTGTAGAGGAACAAACTCTTTTGGCTATGTATTTTATCTCCCAGTCAGCACCGGGTATTAGGCACAAACTCCAAAAATTAGAAAAGGGCCCCAAACCCCTAAATTAGAGCTATTGGACACGGCCTTTAAAATCTTTAACAACCAAAAGGAGGAAGAAATACAGGACCACCAACATAAGTGGAAAGCACTTCAGCTTTTATCTACCACTTTAACAAAAAAGCCACCACTGATAATCTTCCACCTCAGATGGTCAATAACAGAAGGGGTACACAGCCCCCTTCCCAGGTTTGTTTCCGATGCCATCAAGATGGGCATATGGCCAAAGACTGTCAAGCCCTGCCCACCAGCAAAACCCTGTCCCAAATGCAAACAGCATGGACAGTGGGCTCATGATTGCCTCATTCGCCC